CCATCTCTACGAGTATATTTTATATATATATTTGCCTATGCAGCAACTCTGATTTTTTATATATATATATATATATATATATATGAATGTATATGTGTATATTTATTTGTGTATATATAAATCATATGTGTATATATACTGTAACTCTTGGTTGGACATTTAAAAATTAAAGATGTATCAATGATAAAAACTTCAGTAGGCCTAATGTAGAATACTGCAATGTGTGTCAAATATTAGCACATTATTTTTTTACAGCATTCTAAATTTCTTTGATATAGTACATGTCATTCTTATTTCAGATATGGATAAGGACATGGTACATGATCATTTTTATGCGAAGTTTGAAAGAATGTGGTCCTCAATTACAGCAGAAGCAGAAGAATAAACAGAAGAAATGGTCCAAATGGAACCAGAAGACAATCATCCGCTAAGAGTATGAATAGCGGTGTTTACATGTACATTGATATGGCAGCTGTCCCTTGTTGTTAAACAGATCATAATTGCTGTATTTGTTCATTTCAACATGATTTAAGTTAAGTCGATTGTTGATGTCCCAAAATTCACCACACAAACCATCACAAAAAGTGTGACTGGTCGTCTAAGGGAATTAAGGTTAACAATGCAAATCTTGGTGATATTTCAAGGAAAAATACGTCAGAGATGCAATGGTAGCTAGGCCTTAAACATAGGGCCTAAGATACTAGCAGCATGGTCACTGTGCCAAGTGAAATTATGGCACTAAATTGACAGGGAATTTTACTGATATCGAAATATTAAATGTGTTTGTATGTAATTTATATTTTAAATATATTAACCTCAACCCTAATATATACTGTTTAGTCATTGTAAATTAAGACAGTACTGTTGTGTACATCACATTGAGTAAGGTTAGAACTTTGAAATTGTTATTTATACTTTATTTCACTTGCTGGTCATTAATAAACTAACACTGAACTAAATAAAGAAACACATTTTTTTATTTAACTGTGACTTCTTTTTTTTTTCCTGCAGTGTTTGATAATTATTTACCCAGCTATAAGAATATGATTGTCGAAACTCATTTAAATTGTCAATTATATAAAACACCTTTATAACTACTTCAAACACAAAATCAAGTATGGCAGCAGTTAAACTTATTTTTTTGAGGATCCTCAGAGGAGGGTGGAAAATCCAGGAGGAAAAAATAAAAATAAAATTTGTTGTGGTGAATGTAACCAGTGTAATAATGGTTAAATGCTTAAATTAATATACAGTAGTTAGGAAGAAATACTGGATACATCTTATTTTTGGAGATTTCAAGGCAGCAGCAGGCATATTAAGAATAAAGAAACAATTTTATTTTATCTAAAATTTCAATATGTTATGGTGGCTGGTGTGCTAATTCGCCAAAAATAACATCAATCAATTCCAAATCATCAATATATTGTGTGTAGCAGTTTTGCATAACAAGTTACAGAAAAAACTCTTGCCTAATCATGACTAAAGGCATACTGGTATGCTAATATACTACAAAACCTGTAGGCACTGCCCTACTCAAGGCATTCGACAGCAGCCGTGGGCCCCGGGGCAGCTTTGCTGCGGGGTGGGGCAGCAAATCTCTATCAGGTCTATTAATATATTCTGAATGTATATTGATGATGTCAAGCCTTTGATAATTATTAATTAATAACGCAAAGAATTTAGTATTAGTATTTGGTACACACGAATAAAAATACAACAAGCAGTACTTTCTAGAACGATTTGTATTACCATAATATTTTACAGTACAGTATGAGATGCAATTTCTTCAAAATATGGAATTATTTAACCAAAAAGATTAAACCGAATATAACAAGTCAACTGATATACACAGAAAGAATGAAAATTAACTGTAATTCACGATATCGCTAAACTAATTGTGATAAGCCTACCCTGCATACAACCTACCGGTCGCTGGACTGGAGATCAACATACTGTTAAAAAAATAAAGTTCTGTTAAAAAAAAGTTTAAAAAAATACAAATGGAATACTAAACAATATGTTTCAAACATAATAATTGTTTACTGATATAAAATTACCGCTCAGAAATCGACCTAAACAGTGATGATATTGAAGCATGTTTCCTATTTGTTTACATTAACATCCGGGTATTTTGCTAGCTGGAGCGTTCAACTTGCTTGCTCGAATGGCGTCCATGCGATTACAGAGGGCGTAGTGTTCTGGAGATAGGAGTTACCTATCTTGCGCCGCGTAGCGGCGCTATACGATCTTTGCTAATTATAGCTTACTAAGCTTTAACTATATATACT